GCAGGGAGCGGAGAGCCTCCCCTGCAGGGCTGGCTGTCTCGGAGGAGCGCCACCTGTTGGGGGGGGCGGGGAGAGACAGGCGCGGCGCGGAGGGGTTGCCGGGGAGGGCGGCCGGTCCTTGGTTGTGGTTTAGTCGGTTGTGCCGGACTCTTCGTGACCCCTTCATGGACCAGAGAGCGCGCCAGGCCCTCCTGCCTTCCACGGCCTCCCGGAGTCCGGTCAAAGTCATGTTGGTTGCTTCGATGACCCTGTCCATCCATCTCATCCTCTGTCGTCCCCTTCTCCTCTTGCCGTCACACTTTCCCAACATCAGGGTCTTTTCCAAGGACTCTTTTCTTCTCATGAGATGGCCAAAGTACTGGAGCCTCAGCTTCAGGATCTGTCCTTCAAGTGAGCATTCAGGGTTGATTTCCTTTAGAATTGATAGGTTTGTTCTCTTTGCAGTCCAGGGAACTCTCAAGAGTCTCCTCCAGCACCACAATTCAAAGGCATCAATTCTTCAGCGGTCAGCTTTCTTTATGGTCCAGCTCTCACTTCCATACATCATTACAGGAAAAACCATAGCTTTGACTATTCGGACTTTTGTTGGCAAGGTGATGTCTCTGCTTTTTAAGATGCTGTCAAGGTTTGTCAGCGCTTTCCTCCCAAGAAGCAGGCGTCTTTTAATTTCGTGGCTGCTGTCTCCATCTGCAGTGATCATGGAGCCCAAGAAAGTAAAATCTGTCACTGCCTCCATATCTTCCCCTTCAGTTTCCCAGGAGGTGATGGGGGACCAGCGGCCATGATCTCAGTTTTTTTGATGTAGAGCTTCAGACTGTCTTCTATGCACTCCTCTTTCACTCTCCTGAAAGGGAGGGTCTCCGGGACAGCCAGGAGGGTGTGCTTGCACAAGGAAAGCTGTGCAAGCATGTTGGATGCCTTCCGACCTGAGGGGCTCATCTAGCATCACACATTTTAGCCTTTTGTTTCTGATCATGGGGCATTCTTGGCAAAGATACTGGAGTGGAATTGCCGGTTCCTGCTCCAGGTGGATTGCGTTTAGTCGGAACTCTCCACTAGGTCCTGTCCGTCTTGGGTGTCCCTGCACGGCAGAGCCCATAGCCCTTCTCTGAGTGACTCAAGCCCCTTTGCCAGGACAAGGCAGCAATCCGTGAAGGGGTGATCTTTGGCCACCCCGTAACCGTAACCCTTCAGACTCAGGGGAACAGCTGCATCCGGGAAGGAGGGAGGGAAGGAAAGCAAGCAAGCCCCTCCCCATCCAGCCTCCCTGGCTGCCCCAAGGGCTCCATTTTAGGCACCCAACCCAACCCTGCCTTCCCTGGGGGGGGCGGGCAGTCGCTCTCCTTCCCCTTCCCCAGTGTGATGGAAGCCTGGTTTATGGGATGGGTCGGTGGTGCCCAAGGCAGGGTTGCCCCTGCCCACCCCCCCACTGGCGCCGGTCAAGCCTCTGCCCCCCCTTCCCCTGCCCAGATGTGGTGTGCCGAGGAGATGGCTGCTCTGGACGGGGAGGACCTCCTGGACTTTCTCCTGAGCGAGGAGGACGCGCCTGGACCAGCTGCTGCCGCCACCACTACTGCGGGGGACCGCCTCTCTGGGAAGGGCGATGTCCGGATGGAGGATTGGGACCTGCCCGAGGTGACTGCTGGAGGGGAGTTTGTCTGGGGGGGGGGGAAGCTGTACCGCCTGTTTGCCTGCCCCCCCCCGCTCCCTAACCACCTCTGTCCTGGCAGGTCTGGCGGGAGGACGCAGTGGACGACTTCCTGCGGTGCCTTTTGAGCCCCTTCCTGGAGGAGGGCGGCGGCGGCGGCTCCTCGCTTGGCTCTCCCCAGGCTGGCCACGGCTGCCTGGGCGAAGAGCAGAAACTGCCCTGCAGCCCCTCCAGCTCCGAAAGTGTGCAGTCCGATCACAACTACTCCTTGCACCCGGATCCCCCAGAGCAGGAAGCGCTGGGACTGGACAGTGCTGGCTCCTCCTCCTCGGAGGCAGGTGTCGAGGTCGCCATTGACCTGGGTGAGTGCTAGAGTGGGGAGGGGCCCCCTTCTGGAGCCCCACTTCCAGAAGGGGTCTGGACGGGCAGGGCAAGGGGTGGGCAGGCAGCCTTTGGATTTGGACTGCCCTGTGCCTTCCCATTGGGGGCTGGGAGCAAAGGGCGCAGCTGCATGTGTCTTGGGGAGGGAGGCGAGGGGGGGGAGCTCTAGGAAGGGCATCCGGAGCTGTTTGAGTTTCCACCAGGAAATAAGGAAAGGGTTTCTCTTGCCAAACAACCACTGGCTAAAGCCCACAAAGTAGGGAATACACAGTCCCATGTTCCAGCCTGGCGAGATCTCTTGGGGTCGGGGCCTGGCAATGACTCCCCTGCTTTGCTGCCAGAGTGTGCCAACACACTGCCCTGGAAGGAGCCGCAGGGCCTGGGAGTGTTGACATGCCACTCCAAAGGTGCTTTCCAGGGTTACTACTGCTCCCCAAAGTGTTCAGGGAGTGAGGCGCTAATGGCCAAACTTTGAGCCAACTTGGTAGCAGGTGGGTGTAGGTGGAGAGCCTGCCGAGGTGGTTCAGCTGACTCAGAAAGCTAACCCAGGCACTCAGGGTCACCCGCAGGACTGTCCCCAGAGAAGGTGTGGCAATAGTCCAGCGCTGAGGTTGCCAAGGACAGCTTGGACCACGGTGGCTGGCCAAGCTTTTCCTGTCCAAGAAAGTTCCTGGTTAGTGGGAGGGGTGGAGCGTCCTTGCAAAGTGATGGATGTCAGGCTCCCCTCCAGCCTGTAGACTGTTGGGGGGGGGGGGACTGGTTGTCTGGACCTCTTGACCCTAACGGCCTGCCTGGTTTTTCTCCTGCAGAGACGTGGGGGGAAGTGGACCCCTCTGAGGCTTCGCAGACAAGCGTCGGCTCTCGCTCCCCCGTCCTCCCTGTGGTGGTGCCCATGGAAGAGCCTTTGTCCGGCATGGGGGTACAGGTATGGCATGCTCTGGGCCCCCTTGGTGGGCTTTGTCCCTGGTCTGGCTGTTCCCTCCCCTCTCCCCCCCCCCTGCGGGATGGACCCTGCTCATCGGGTGCCTCCTCTGGCTCTTCCAGTTTGATTTCCCCCTGCTGTCCTTGACGGAGGAGGAGAAGAAGCTCCTGGAGAAAGAAGGGGTCTCCATCCCCTGCAACCTGCCCCTCACCAAGGTGTGTGTTTCGACACGTTTCCCGCACGCAACGCTGCACGCTGCCTGCTGAAGCACCTGGCAAGGCCTGTGTGGGCGGCTGGCCGGTGGGTGGATGATGATGTGGGGAGCCACCCTCGGCAGGGCCTGCCTTGCTCCACCTCCTCCTGCCTGGGACCTCCCTGCCCAAGGTGGGCCAGAAGGCCTCCCTCTTTTTTAAAAAGACATTTTATCGTAAACATGGGGAGGGGGAAGCCGTACTTGCTCTCTGCAGGGTCTGTGTGTGTGTGTGTGTGTGTGTGTGTGTGTGTGTGAGAGGGGGGTGGGGTGTTTTTTTTTTTTTTTTTTGCCTTTCCCAGTGTGACCAGGAAAAGATGCAGCAGGACAGGTTTTTGCCTGCTCTTTGGGGTCTGCCCCTCCATGCTGGGGTGGGGGCTCACCCTCTATGCGGTGCTTCTGCTGCAGGCGGAGGAGCGGATCCTGAAGCGCGTCCGCAGGAAGATCCGCAACAAGCAGTCAGCGCAGGACAGCCGGCGGCGGAAGAAGGTCTACGTGGACAGCCTAGAGACCAGGTGGAGGAGCTGAGCTGGGTGGGGAGGTGGGGCGCAAGGACCCCTTGTGCCGCCCTGGGGTCGGCTGGGCTGCAGGTGTTGTGGGGTGAGGAGGAGCGGCGCTGTGGGAGAGCCTGGCGCACCTTCCGCTCTCTCTGCGCTCCCGGGGCTGCTCCCTCCTGCCCCAGAGGCCTGCTGCTGCTGCTGCCCCTCAGCCTGCCTGGGGCTGCGTGGGGCGGGGTGGGGCTCAGTCCTGATCCTGGTGGCTTCCCACAGGGTGGTTGTTTGCACAGCCCAGAACCACGAGCTCCAGAAGAAAGTGCAGCTACTGGAGAAGCAGAACCTGTGAGTCCAGGGTTGGGGTTAGGGCAGGGAGGGTCTCCCTTGCTGTGGGGTGTGTGGGGGGGGCAGTGGCCGTGGAGGGCCTGAGGCTCCCAGAGGGTCCCTGGCCAAGAGCCCTGGTGCTGGGCAGCCGCCGTTGCCCTCTGGCACTAAAGGTGAAGCCGTGGGGCTAAAGCTGGGCTACCCCATGCGGGCAAAGGGTGGGCTTCTGTGTTGGGGATGGGGGGGTGGGGTGGGGTGGAGTGGAGTGGCCCAGCAAAGGCCTCTCTGGCTGCTGACAGGAGGGGGTCAGGCCCACCCTAGTTAGGGGGCGGCGGGAGGAGGCTCACCCCTTCTCTGGCTTGGCTGCAGGTCTTTGCTGGAGCAGCTGCGGAAGCTGCAGGCCCTGGTTCAGCAGACGTCCACCAAGACCGCTACGGCCACCACCTGCATCATGGTGAGTGCCCCGTCCCTCCAGCCCCACCGCTGGCTCACGGGGGGGGGCGCCCTCTGCCGCCGCGGACTCCCCCAGAAAGCGTGTGGGAGGCTTGCTGTCCTCATGCTCCGGTTCTTGCCTCGCATCCAGGTGTGAGTCAGTGGGGCGGGGGGGGGGCTGCCACCCCAGCTGGTGCCTGCCCTCAGTCTTTTTAACACTTGTCTCTGCCTGCCTGCCTGCCTGCCTTTGAGGACCTTACTGGAACATTCCGTCCCCCCCCCCAAAAAAATGCACTGTCTTGTCCCCCTCCAGGTCCTGCTCTTGTCCTTCTGCCTCATCCTCTCACCCAGCCTGTCCCCTTTTGGAGGCCGGGAGCAGCAGGTGGAGCTTCAAGGAGGTAAGTGAAGGGTCTTCCCAGGAAAGGCGCCTGCCTCCAGGAGCGGGACCGGCTTGTTTTCTTAGCAGCGGGCTGCAGGTTGGGTCCTGCAGAGAAGCAACCCCAGCAACACCGTCCCACCAGATAGGTTGCGCCGTGTGGTGGTCTAGGGACGGACAGGCAGAATCTTGGCCTTTTCTTGGGGCCCTTTTACTGGGACCCCCCCCTCTGCAGAAGACAGAGTCCCGCAGGGGCAGGGAGACCGCCGTGGTCAGGAGCCCTGGCGGAAGAAGCAGGGGCCTCGGCTCCCCTGGACTTTGCTTCCATTCTGAGCGAGGAGCTCCGAGAAGACCTGCGGGGTCGGCCAGCCGGTGGAGGGTTCAGCGGCTGTGCCAAGATCGGCCTTGCCCCCTTTGCATGCGCCATGTGCATGGAAGACGGGGCGGCGGTGCCTTTCGAGAGGGGGAGCCTCACAAGAGTGGCGAAGCCGCAGGTGTGCTCAGGAGGGCCACCGTCCTTCCGCGCCCTTGCAGGTGGCTTTGGGAGAGGGGCAGGCAAAGGGGGAGAGGCTCCCCTGCATGTTTTTCTGGGCAGTCCCGTTAGGCCGTGCTAGTGGGTCCGAGAGGGGAAGAGCTCTGCAGCTCCCGCAGCCTCAGCAACCCTGACAGGGCTGCTGTTTGCCCGTGCCCCCCCCAAGGGAGGGAGGGAGGGAGGCTGGCCCAGGCCCTCCTCTGGATCCCCCTCACTCCGGCCTCTTCATTTCCCTGCCCAGTGCTCTCCCGGAGACTGCGTGAATTCCCCAGCAGAGGCGCCCAGCTGTCCGCTGTGGCCCCCCAGCCCACAGAGGGGCCCCTTTTGCATCTTCCAGAAAAGGGGGTCCCCGGAGAAGCTGTGGAGTCTGCAGGGGGCCTCAACCAGTCCCTGGGGGGCCCCCAGCACCCTCTGGAAGAGCAGCCCACCTCCGGCGGCCCCCAAAGCAGCAACTCCTCCTCTGACGATCCCTCCCCGCCTCCGGCCGATGGATTTCCGCCGGTTCCGGAGCTCGAGCGCCTGCGGAGGGAGACGGCCCTCCCGGCGGCCTCTGCTGGCCAGAAGCCTGGGTGGCCGGCCGACGGCACCAGCGTCATCATCCAGCCGCGCCATTCTGATGAGATGTGAGCCCTCCACGCTTCAAGGACTTTGCCACCTGCACTGGGGTTGCTGGACCTGGCCAGGGGCGGGTTGGCATCACCGCGAGGGGGAACCAGAGCATTTGCACGCCTTGCTCTGTTTGGGGATGATGGCGTTTCCCTCCTCTGGATCAGGGTCCAGGCCATGTGGGCAGGAGGGCAGCCCTTGGAAGCTGCCCTCCCCTCCTGGATCTCGGCCTTGAGGCCAACCTGGACTGAGTCAGGGCAGAAGACGGATCCTGGTGGGGGGGGGGTGGGGATGGGGGGAGCGATAGGATAGCCAGGCAGCAACAGGCAGCAGTCTGCCCCACTCTCCTGGGCCTCACTTTTGATCATTGGGCCCAGCCCTCTGTTCCCTAACTCAGGCTGTGCCCCCTTCTCCCCAGGGAGCACTCGCAGGCGTCATGGGGCTGGAAGCAGTGGCAGCCGCTGTGGGGAGGGAGGGAGGGAGGGAGTGTCCTAAGGCTCTCTCTCTCTCTCTCTCTCACCTTCGAGGCCAGCACTTCTCTGGAATCCCTTCTTCAGGGAGCCCCAACCCCAGAGTCAGCACAGCGCTGCAGGATCCGGTCCCTCAGGCTGTGTAGCCCTGCTTCGTCCTAGACCTTCGGAGCAGGAAGACCAGCTTCTGTCCAAGGGGCTCCACTGGGCACTCCCTTCTGATGACAGCCATCACTCATCTCTGATTCCTGGGGGTGTCTTGTTTCCAGGAGCTCCCCCCCCGTCCCCTGTCCAGGTTTCCTGCTTTCAGAGCCCAGGGCCCAAGGGTTTATGGTGCATCAGTTCCCTTCTCCTGGGTGAAGGGGTGATGCTACCATTGTCCCTGTGAGTCAGAGCAGGTGGAGGTGCAGCCAAGAATCGTGCTGTCTGTTCCTGGGGGAGAGCTGCAGGGCCTCTGGCCCTCTGGTAGTGGGTTCCAGTTTTGGTGGATGGCACGTTCTGACATGGGAGGAGGGAGAAGCCCGTGTCTGCATGAATGCAAACCTGAGTTCCCTTCTGATGTCCCTGAGAATCAGGCAAACCACAGCCGCCTCGCAAGAGGTCTGGCTACTTGGTGTTGGGGCTTGATGGCCACCAGATCAGGCTGGCCAGCCAGGAAGGCTGTGGGTGGGAAGGAGCGCAGGATGCTCAGAAGACCCTCTGCCTGTTACTGTTCCGCTCGTGGCCCTGCGGAACTGCTCGCCTCCTTCCTTCCTGTGTGCTCAGTGTCATGGCAGTCTTTGCCCCAAGGTGGCATCAAGTGGACCCTGCCACCT